GCAGGCACTACGGCTGCAGGCACTACGGCTGCAGGCACTACGGCTGCAGGCACTACGGATGCAGGCACTACGGCTGCAGGCACTACGGCTGCAGGCACCACCGCCGCAGGCACCACCGGCGCAGGCACCACTGCCGCAGGCACCACCGGCGCAGGCAGCACCGGCGCAGGCGCCACGGCTGCAGGCGCCAGCACTGCTGCAAACGCCACCGCCGTAGGCACTACGGCTGCAGCAACTACTGGCGCTGCAACTACGGCCGCAGGCACTACGGCTGCAGGCACCACTGTCGCAAACACCACCGCCGCAGGCACTACGGAAACCAGCACAACTGTAACGGAAACCAGCACAGCGACGGAGACAACGACAAGCACGGCCACAACGACGGAGACGGAAACGACCACGAGCACAGAAACTACGACGTCGACAATCACCAGTACCTCAACCACAACAACCAGCACCACGCTGCCAGTGCTGATTCGTGGTTTAGAGCTCGAGATGGAAGTGATCAACAGCACACTGACAGACGCTGACGTAGAGAGTTTGCTAGATCGATCGAATGTGATTCCAGACGTCACCTCTGAATTGCTGCAAAAGATCGCTGACGCCAATGCAACCGTTGCCGGCACCAGCGCGGTCGACATGGGAGAAGTCTTCGTGTATCCCACAGTCACCATTGAGACTTTTGTTCCTGATGACAGGAGCACAACAACGGCGGCGGCTGTTGCAGCTATCACTGGTGCCACTACCTCTCCTGCTGCAACAAATGCGTCTGCGAACTCAAGTGGAGCGGGAGGCAATGGCACTTCATTAGTCTTGTCGAAGCGCGAAGGCGAAGAGGAGCTGCAGGGTCCGCACACCACCTCGAATGGCACGACTACGACAGACGCGCCCGCAGTTGTTCTGGGTCGTAGGGTGGTCGCAACAATTACCTTGGAGTTGCGGGGGCCACAGGAGCACATTGACATCATTGCCGGCAACTGGAGCGATCCGAATTACGAACTGTCGAAAGCGCAGGACAAATTCGTTTTGGCTAGCTTCCGTAAGGCACTGAGAGCGAATGCTCTGACTGAAAACCATATCGGCATGTGGAATACCAAGGGCGCACTGGTGACGACAACCACTTCGACATCGACCACGACAACAAGTACCTCGACCACGTCGTCCACCACGTCGACCAGCACGGAGACTACGACTGAAACTGTGACCGAAACGGAGACGCCAACTTCTACCTCGACGACTAGCACGATCACGGAAACGTCAACTACGAGTACCACGGAGACCACAACGTCCACCGAAACCGCGACAAGCACCTCGACCAGCACGACCTCGACAACTTCGACTACGAGTACTACAACAACGACCCTGCCGGTTGTGCTTTACGGTTTCGAAATTCTGGTGAACAGAACAGAGTTTTTGAAAAGAAACCCAGGCCAGAACTTCACCAACGAAGACGTGGCTGCGCTGGGTGGCTTCGCTGAGTTGATCTCCGATGTTGTGCTGGACTTCATTAAGGGCCCCAACGTTTCCGACGCAGCAAATTATACGTTCGACAGCCAGCCAATCAGCATCGAGACGAACCTGCATGACGGATCAACTGATCCGCCAGTTTTCGTCAGCAGCAATGCCACACAAATTGCCGCAAATGCCACAACAGATGACGGCGATAATTCTACTAGGTCCTCAAGTTCTAGCACTGAGAAACCCGACGGTGCGAACGGTGCGAGTACTACCGGGCCTGCCAGCAGCAGGTCTCTGGACTTCCAGGCAAGGTGGTACAACACCACTTACACGGGTCCGCTCCAGGCCAGTGTGTACATTCGCGGCCCACAACCTAGCTTGGATGCTTTGTCCGAGGTTTGGGATGTAAGCCAGGGCTTCGAGCCATCTAGTTTGGCGCGCGTTTTGATCGATGAAATTGCTGACGCAGTGACGGCGAATACGACGCTGAGTGAGATGATTTCGATCGTTGTTCCGGAAACGTTGGTGATCAAGGTTGTGACGTCGACGACCACGACGTCGACGACTACAACATCGACATCGACTACGACCTCAACGTCAAGCACGACGACGGTGACGGAGACGTCGACTACGAGTACCACGGAGACCACAACGTCCACCGAAACCACGACAAGCACCTCGACCAGCACGACCTCGACAACTTCGACTACGAGTACTACAACAACGACCCTTCCGGTTGTGCTTTACGGTTTCGAAATTCTGGTGAACAGAACAGAGTTTTTGACTAGAAACCCAGGCCAGAACTTCACCAACGAAGACGTGGCTGAGCTGGGTGGCTTCGCTGAGTTGATCTCCGATGTTGTGCTGGACTTCATTAAGGGCCCCAACGTTTCCGACGCAGCAAATTATACGTTCGACAGCCAGCCAATCAGCATCGAGACGAACCTGCATGACGGATCAACTGATCCGCCAGTTTTCGTCAGCAGCAATGCCACACAAATTGCCGCAAATGCCACAACAGATGACGGCGATAATTCTACTAGGTCCTCAAGTTCTAGCACTGAGAAACCCGACGGTGCGAACGGTGCGAGTACTACCGGGCCTGCCAGCAGCAGGTCTCTGGACTTCCAGGCAAGGTGGTACAACACCACTTACACGGGTCCGCTCCAGGCCAGTGTGTACATTCGCGGCCCACAACCTAGCTTGGATGCTTTGTCCGAGGTTTGGGATGTAAGCCAGGGCTTTGAGCCATCTAGTTTGGCGCGCGTTTTGATCGATGAAATTGCTGAGGCAGTGACGGCGAATACGACGCTGAGTGAGATGATTTCGATTGTTGTTCCGGAAACGTTGGTGATCAAGGTAGTGACGTCGACCACTACAACTTCGACGACCACAACGTCAAGCACGACGACGGTGACGGAGACGTCGACTACGAGTACAACGGAGATAGCGACAACCACTGCCGCAGACACCACCGCTGCTGGTGCCACCTCAGGCGCTAGCACAGGAGCGGCTGCGACGTCGACTGTCACGGTGAATAATGCCGAAAATACGACCACAACCAGCTCGACCACAACGCCATCGTCTACGACGACCACGACAACTTTGTCATGCATCTACCGTGGCGTGGGATTCACGCTGACGATCAACACCACGGTCGATAATGCGAAGAACTTCACGCCGGATGACTTGATCGCCGACAACTCGACTACTCTTGTCGCGATTCAACATGGTATAGAGTCTGTGATCAGCAAAGTGATGGATGAAATCATTGCTCAGTCCACTGACAGTGCGGTCACCAGTTTGCCAGCGAAAAATGTCTCAGCGCAATCGACTGTGGCAACTGAGGCAGCACTTGAGCTGTTGTCTTCGACGACCAAGACAGCTGCAAACGGCACACTGGAGGGTGATTATCAGGCAACGCTTGGTTTCTGCGCTAGGTCGATGTCCAGCGAAGCTATCAAATTGCTAGAGGCTTTGGACGAAAAAGTTTGGGCCGATCAAACTTTGAACGACACCAGTGTGGACCGATTTGAAGCGCTGTTTGAAGAAAAGATTGACGCAGATCCGAAGTTGGATGGTGTCACTCTGTCTGGTTCGAAGGTGATTGCGATCACCACCACGACGACTTCTACGTCCACGACGATCACAACCACGGTCACAACGACCACTGAAACCAGCACCACGACGAGTTCCACACTCACAACCACGACAACCTTGCCGTGTGTGACGCGTGGGATGGGCTTCACGTTGACGATCAACAAGACCGCTAGCTCAGGAGCATCGTTGACTCTCGACGGTTTGGTTCAAAATGGCACTACCACTCTGTCGGACCTGAGTGACTACACGGTGAACGCGATCAACTACGCTCTGGACAACATGGAGAACGCCACTGCTAAAAAGAGCTTCTTCTTGAGCTTGAGCGGGAACAACTCTGCTAACCTGACCGCCTTGCCGAATATCTCGAGTCAAGACGCTGTTTTTACGTCCATTCGGGACCTGGAGTTGCAGAACGCGGTGTTGACAACCGCAACCTCTGAGGTCGGAGACTACTCGGCGACCATTGACTTCTGTGTTTTGTCGATGGACACGCAGGCTGTGGCTTTGGTGGAGTACATCAATGCGGGTTTGTGGCCGCCTAACTCGACGCCAGCGCTCAAATCCGGGAGTCGTGCTGCAAAAACCTTCGAGGACAAATTGGGAGAAGCTATTGACGGTTCCGGCTCTATGGGCAACGGAAAGGTCAAGGTTTCCGGTGCTGCCGCGATCACGATCACCACGTCCACGACCAGTACCACGATCACG